TTTGATTGTTTGTGGAAAAAGAATAAACGTTGATTTACTGATACAACTGGCTACGGGTCATATCCACCCTGAATATTACAGTGCATTAGAAGCTTCAGCACGTCAGATAGAGCCCTGCCTCATTTCCTGGCTGGAGGACATTCAGGATCATCAGGCGCCTTCTTCCCCAGCCTGACTATCCCTGGTCCACTCTGTTCTTCACAAGTGGGTGTTACCTAAGGTGGTCTATGTGCAAATGCTGTCCACCTAGGAATACCCAGACTGACTTACACCCATCAAAGTACTTTATTTTTGCATAACTCCTCCCAAGAGCCAGCCCACTGCTTGCATCAGGGCTAAGGGGAGGAGTACTGAGGCAGGTTGCAGTAATGTTCTCAGGACGCTATGTACGGCACCCTGCTAAACCCTCCCATGAACCATAATATACCTGACTTTTGCTGCCACCTGATCACTTCTAAATTCTGGAGAAAATACCACCAACACCCCCCACGTGGCCCCACATTTCTTCATGTGCTTTATTGTTTCACATAAATTTGTGATGGCACAGTGAAAGGTTCTTTTTAGGGAGACATTGGGGGTCTAGAAGACCCCTATTGTCACCTCTTCACCCCACTGAAGCTCATAAATCACAGATCGTACTTGATTAGCTTCTTCCTTGACCACAGTGATCAGGAAGTGACGGCACTGAAACTGGAAGTGATGAAAAGCTTGTCGCTTCCGGCTTCATTCATTGTAGGAATGACCAGTGAACAGAAGTTTGCAATCATCATCTGCCCTCCCTGGTATTACCCACTGGGGACAGCAGAGCCTGGGATACATGACGGAGGAAGGGGTTGGATGGGGGGCACGTGTTCCGAAGGCTGTAGAAGTGATCGAGGTGCCCGACTCACTTCTAGCAAAAATCCAACAGCCTGCTGAAGGGATGTAAACAAGCTCCCGGCTGCTACAGCAGTCTGTTTACAAGTCCCTGCTGATGTATCCATTTCTGCCTTAGTAAACGATTCGCATTTATTGTGGTAATGAAGAGATGAAGTGATGACGTATATATGTATGTGCACATTTTTATTATTCACATTGCTGGCTTTCTTCATTTTTTATGAACCCGGAATCATAGAAATAAAAAATGTTCTCCGAAGGAAATTCAGTCTGACACCGGGGTCAGATTGTAAGGCAGTCTGTAAACAGCTGCCCCCCTCCCTGTGATTCTGTGTAACACGAGCTCTGCCTTTGCATACAATACACTGTCCAGGGGGGAGGGTTTGCCACTATGATTACTTATGAATGGGGGGTGGAAAGCTAGATCAGCCAATCAGTGTCGAGCCGGGCAAACAGATTTGACAATATGGCAACACGACCCCCACCCTGCAGGCACCTAATTCCCCTCACATAGATCCTTAACATTCATTAATGTAGCAGTCCCTCGGCCAGCTGGGCCGACACCGCTCTCCAACCGCTCTCAGATCTGCCGTCTACTGTGCGCACACAGCGCCCACGTGATCGGCCCTCAGCCTGCTACTGAGAATGCACAGGATTTCAGAATGAGAGCGCTGGGCAGTCTGCGCATGCGCAGTAGCAGGCTGAGGGCCGATCACGTGGGCGCTGTGCGCACAGTAGACGGCAGATCTGAGAGCGGTTGGAGAGCGGTGTCGGCCCAGCTGGCCGAGGGACTGCTACATTAATGAATGTTAAGGATCTATGCGAGGGGAATGAGGTGCCTGCAGGGTGGCGGTCGTGTAGCCATATTGTCAGATCTGTTTGGCCGGCTGGATGCTGATTGGCCGGAAAGCCGGCTTCCCAGCCAATCAGAATGGAGTCGGCTTTCCGGGCAATCAGGAAGCCTTCCTGATTGCCCGGGAAGACGGCTATATGCTACCGGAAGTACCGGTATCGGTACTCGGTATCGACGAGTACAGAAATATAAGTATCGGTACTCGATACAGAAAAAACGGTATCGGTGCGTCCCTAATGTATACCCGGCTTAACGTCAGTGGCAATGAAAGGGTTAAAACAAGGTGCATTTGTTTTGCCCCTTTACTTTGACCTAACCCACCCTCCCCCTATCTCAGAAGCTTACTTACCTAGATCCCATGGCTACAGATCTGCTGATTGTTTCTATTTAGAAGTCTATGGGGCTGTAAAGTACAGATGCGGCGAGGACAGTGAGGACTTGCAGCGATGGATGTAAGCAGCGTAACCGCGGCCGGCGGATCAAGGTAAGTATGCATTTGAGGAGGGTTGTTTAGGTTTGGGGGGGGGGGGGGGGCAAAGA